GGAATTACTGGATAAAATTGGAGTTCCATTTTTAATTTTATGAGAAAACTCCACACAGTTTTCCACAATGTCTGTACAAGTTTACATTTCTACCAGCAGTGTATGAGGGTACCTTTTTCTCCACATCCTCTCTAGCACTTGTTGATGATGGCCATTATGACAAGCGTGAGATGGTACCTCATCATCTTGATTTGCTTCTCTCAGATTATTAGTGACTGAGCATTTTTTTATATGCCTCTTGGCCTGTGTATGTCCACTTTCGAAAAGTGTCTATTTAGGCCCTTTGCCCATTTTTTGATTGGATTGTTTATTTTCCTTTCATTAAATTGTATGAGTTTCCTATAAATTTATCAGATTAAACCCTCATTGGATGTAACATTGGCAAAAAGTTCTCCCATGTGGTGGGCTCTCTTGTTTTGTTGATGGTTTCTTTTGCTGTGCAGAGCTTTTTATTTTCATGTAGTCCCATTTGTTTATTTTCTCCTTAGATTCCATTGTCCTAGGAGATGTATGGGTAAATATATTGCTACAAGATATGTCATATTTTGCTGCCTATGGATTCTTCTACGATTTTTATGATTTCCCATCTTATGTTTAAATCTTCTATTCATTTTGAGTTTATATGTGTGTATGGTGTAAGTTGGTGGTCTACGGAGAAACCAAGAAGGTGGCATAGTAAACCCCTCAACTGCTGCCATGCACAAGAATTTCAAAACTATAACTAAAAGAATGGATATCATCCAAAACCACAGGAAAGCTGGCTGAGTGGAAATTCTACAACTAGAAGGAAAGAAAGAAGCTCACAGGAAATCAGAGCTGCAAAGGACTGAGGTACAAAGACACGCACACAGAGAGGAAGGGCAGCTGAGTGCCTGGCTGGCTTTCTCTGGTGGGAGAGAGAAGGAAGTCCCCAATTGCACTGAACCCCAGTTCCGACTGCACTGAACCTCAGTTCCAGGCAAGCCAGGGGGAGTCTGGACTGTTGGGCGGAAAGTCGGGAGCCGAGGAAGGCAGAGGTCTGTAAGCACGCGCAAGGGCAAGGCTGATGGGAAGCCAAGACTGCTCAGCCCTGAGATTCTGCCCCATTCAAACTGAGCACAGAGGCTTTTGCAATTTTGCAAGTCTTTGTCTCATAAGGATGTCTCCAGTACAGAAGTTCTCCCATTGTAGACATAGCTGATCCTCATAGCCAATTGGCCTGGAGGTCAATTCCTCCCAGTGATACCAACAACAATCAAGACTTAACTACAAAACTGCACACAGCCCACAAAGGGTGCACAAGTAGTGTCCACCTCAGGTAACTGGGCAGGCTGAGCCACTGGGCCCTATAGGACACCTAGTACATAAAGCCACTCTTATCAACTCAGGGAAGAAGCCAAAATGCAAAGAAAAGAAACAGGTCACAAATGACAAAAATGGAAGAAAGCTAACAACTGGATATAGAGTTTATTATTATTTTTTAAATATATTTTATTGATTTTTCACAGAGAGGAAGAGAAGACGGATAAAGAGTTAGAAAAACTGATGAGAGAGAATCATCAATCAGCTGCCTCTTGCACATCCCCCACTGGGGATGTTCCCACAACCAAGTTACATGTCCCAGGAATCAAACCTGGGACCTTTCAGTCCACAGGCCAACGCTCTATCCACTGAGCCAAACCGGTTTTGGCTGGATATAGAGTTTAAAACCACGGTTATAAGTTTTTTCAAAATTTTCTAGAAAAGGCCAATAAATTTAGCGAGACCCTCAAGGATGTGAAAAAGGACCAACTAGAAATTAAATATAAACTGATTGAAATAAAAAATATTATACAGAGACCCAACAGCAGACTAGAGGAACACAAGAATTAAGTCAAAGATTTGAAATACAAAGAAGCAAAAAACCCTCAACTAGAAAAGCAAAAAGTATCCAAAAAGTTGAAGATAGTGTAAGAAGTCTCTGGGACAACTTCAAGCGTACCAACATCAGAATTATGGGGGTCCCAGAAGAAGAGAGCAAGATAATTGAAGACATGTTTTAAGAAATAATGACTGAAAACTTCCCCCACCTGGTGAAAGAATTAGACTTACAAGCCCAGGAAGCGCACAGAACCCCAAACAAAAGGAATCCAAAGAGGACCACACCAAGACACATCATAATTAAAATGCCAAGAGCAAAAGACAGAATATTAAAAGCAACGAGATTTAAAAAAAAAAAAAAAAAAAAAAAGTTACCTACAAGGGAGCACCCATAGGATTAGCTGATTTCTCAACAGAAACTGCAGGCCAGACGGGAGTAGCAAGAAATATTCAAAGTACTGTAATGAATAGCAAGAACCTACAACCAAGATTACCCAGCAAAGTTATCATTCAGAATTGAGGGTCAGATAAAGAGCTCAACAGATAAGAAAAAGCTAAAGGAGTTAATCACCAAACCAGTATTATATGAAATGCTGAAAGGTATTCTGGAAGAAGAGGAAGAAGAAAAAAGTAAAGATAAAAATTATGAACAACAAATACTTATCTAGCAACAAGTGAACCTAAAAGTCAAGTGAATTAAAAGTCTGATGAACACGCCAGGACCGGTTTGGCTCAGTGGATAGAGCGTCGGCCTGCGGACTGAAGGGTCCCGGGTTTGATTCCGGTCAAGGGCATGTACCTTGGTTGCGGGCACATCTCCAGTGGGGTGTGTGTAGGAGGCAGCTGATCGATGATTCTCTCTCATCGATGTTTCTAACTCTCTATCCCTCTCTCTTCCTCTCTGTGAAAAATCAATAAAATATATATTTTTTTAAAAAATAAAAAAGTCTGATGAACAGAATAAACTGGTGAATATAATAGAATTGGGCATAGAAAGGGAAGTGGACTGATAATTCTCAGGGGGGAAATGGAAAGGGGGGTGCAGGAAAAGACTGGACAAAAAACACACCTATGGATGAGGACAGTGGGAGGGAGGTAAGGGCAGAAGGTGGGGTGGGAACTGGGTGAAGGGGAGTTATGGGGGGAAAGGAGAAACTAGTAATCTGAACAATAAAGATTTATTAATATTTTTTTAAAAATTGAGCTATTAGCTCTTAAAATGTATACACTTTGGGTGATACCCTATATAAAGTTAGCCATGCCTTACCTAATACGTTTTAAGATAAGCCTTTAAATGTTATGCAGAATATTACGAATTACTCAATACATAAGATACAAGTAAATATTACAAAGAGTTTCTGAGAAACATAGGAGGTCTTTCGGGAAGTGGGGTCAGGCTTTGATTGTTTTTTTTCATGGGATAGAGCTGGGCTCTTACCCAAAAGGGCATCCATTACTTTTTCCCAGCTGGTGTGGATCAATGGTTGAATGTTGGTCCATGTACCAACAGGTCAATGGTTCGATTCCCAGTCAGGGTGTATGCCCAGGTGGCTGGCTCAATCCCCAGTAGGAGGTGTGCAGGAGGCAACCAATCTGATTCTCATCCATGTTTCTATCCCTCTCCCTTCTTTGAAATCAATAAAACTATATTTTAAAGAACTAAACATACAACTGCCATGTGACTCAGCAATTGCACTCTGGGCATTTACTCCAATGCAATGAAGGTTTATGGTCACAGAAAACCCCGCATGCAAGTTTTATAGCGGCTTTATTCATGATAGCCCCAAAGTGGAAATATCCTTCAACAAATGAATGATGAAACCAAGTGTTTTACTTTACCCACACTTGTTTTGCACACTTTTATTGCAATAAAAGGGAACGCTATTTGTACAACAACCTGGATGAATCTCCAAAGTATTATACTGAGTGAAAAAAGGGAGTCCCAAAAGGTTATGTACTATTTGATTCCATTTATACTACATTCATGAAAAGACAGAAGTTATAGAAAGGGAGACCGGGGTTAGCAGTTGCCGTTAAAGGGAAGTGGGTGTGACTATAGAAGGGCAAATGAGGGATCCTAGAAATGATGGAACTAAGTGTTCTGTATCTTCACTAATCAATGCCAACCTCCTGGTTGTGATATCGTACTACTGCTTTGCAAGATACTGCTATGTAAAGAAACTGGTTAACGGTACACAGGATCTCCTTGTATTGTTTCTTATAACTGCATATGAATTTACAATGATCTCAAAATAGAGCTTAATTAAAAAAACAAAACAACTATCACGTAGCATGGCTTTCCCTTCCCCCTCTGCTTAAAATCCCCCAGTAGTTTCCCATTGTTCTTAAAATATGAGATCCTGCATGGTGTATCTCGGTTCACCTGCCAGGATCACCAGGCTCCCTTCAGGCTTTCTGTGCTCCACCCGCTCTGGCATTCTTTCATTATCCCCGCTAAGCCTACTCCTACCTCCGAGGGGGCTTTTGCAAATGCTGTCCTTCTCTGAACCGTGTTTCCCCTCTTCCATTTAACTCCTACTTATCCTTTAGACCTTACACGAAGCCTAAAATCCTTAGGACAACCTTTCTAAGTCAAATTCTCTTATCAGCTCTTCTTGCTCTGTGCTTTCCTCTTTGGTAGTTCGGATATTCACCGCGGCACTGTCACATTTGCTTGCGTAATTGATTAATGTGTTTTCTTTATTAGAAAGGTAGTTCCACAGGAGAGGATCTGTATCTGTTACTCTCGCTGTCGGCAAAGCAGCCGGCTTCACACCTAGAATGATCATTAAGAGCATGCCCCAGGCGGAGATCATGCTGGAGGCAACCAATGGATGTGTTTCTCCCACATCGATGTTTCTCTCCCATTCCCTCTCTTTAAAAATCAAAGGAGCTGAAACCGGTTTGGCTCAGTGGATAGAGCATCAGTCCCACGTTCGATTCCGGGTACCTTGGTTGCGGGCACATCCCCAAAGGGGGGTGTGCAAGAGGCAGCTGATCCATGTTCCTCTCTCATCGATGTTTCTAACTACCCCTCTCTCTTTCTCTCTGTAAGAAATCAATAAAATATATATTTAAAAATAAAAATCAAAGGAAAAACGGGTGAGGATTAAGAAAAAAAACAAAAAACAGTATTTTTTAAAAAAAGAAACTATTAATTGAAAGATTGCATGAACGCCCACCCACGCGCCGGGCGGGTCCCACTGGAGTCGCGCGGGACACACGTCACTTCCTCCCGGAAGACACTCTCTGGGGAGACCACTCCGATCCCTGTCACTTGCCAGACCTCCGGGGGTGGCCATGGCTCTGCCGCCCTTCTTCGCCCAGGGCCGCCCGGGCCCGCCGCCCCCCGCTCCCTTCGGCTGCCCGCCCCCGCCGCTGCCCTCCCCGGCCTTCCCGCCGCCTCTCCCGCAGCGGCCCGGCCCCTTTCCGGGCGCCTCCGCCCCCTTCCTCCAGCCCCCGCTGGCGGGGCAGCCCCGAGCGCCCGGGGAAGCCTCCCGCGGCGGCGGCGGCGGCGCCTTCTACCCGGTGCCGCCGCCGCCGCCGCCTCCGCCGCCGCCTCAGTGCCGACCTTTCCCGGGGATCGACGCCGGCGAGCGCCCGCGGCCGCCGCCTCCCGGCCCGGGGCCGCCCTGGAGCCCGCGCTGGCCTGAGGCGCCGCCGCCCGACGCGCTGGGGGACGCGGCCCTGCAGCGCCTGCGCGACCGGCAGTGGCTGGGCGGTGTTCGGGGCCCCGCGGCGGGCGGGCGGCCCGGCGTCCCCGCGCGCGCCGGCCGGGCCCTCCCTGGGCGAGGTACGCGCGCGGCTGCGCGGGGCCCTGCGCCTGGTGCGACGGCTGCGGGGCCTGGGCCAGGCGCTGCGCGAGGCGGAGGACGACGGCGCGGCCTGGGCGCTGCTGCACGCCCAGGCGGCGCCGCTGCGCGCCGAGCTGGCCGAGCGGCTCCAGCTGCTGACCCAGGCCGCCTACGTGGGCGAGGCGCGGCGGAGGCTGGAGCGGGTCCGGCGCCGCCGCCTGCGGCTCCGCGAGAGGGCCCGGGAGCGCGAGGCCGAGCGGGAGGCGGAGGCCGCGCGAGCCGCGGAGCGCGAGCAGGAGATTGACCGCTGGAGGGTCAAGTGCGTGCAGGAGGTGGAGGAGAAGAAGCGGGTAAGCGCAGCGGTTGTGCACGGGAGTGAGGGGAGTGGCGTTTGGAACGGGAAGGGGCCCGAGGCTTTGCCCTGTTTCCCAGGGCTAAGCCTCCTTTTCTCCATTTATAAAGTAAAAAGATAGTTTAGTAGTTTTTGCCTTTCCGACCTCCTATCTCCGTATTGGTTGCGTGTTAATGAACAGTAGCAACACCAGTGCTCTATGTGCACTGCAAAGCCCTGTATACGCTATGCAGGAGGATTACACAGTGGCGTTGCAGGGATGACACATCTGCACAGACATTCTGACACCAGCATTCAACACTAACGAGCATCTGGTGCTTTTATTTTTTTTTTAAAGAATATTTTTATTGATTTCAGAGAGGGGGAGGGAGAGAGAAACATCAATGATGAGAGAGGAACATTGATCTGCTTCCTCCTGCACGCCCTCCCATTGGGGATTGAGCCCAGCAATCCTGGCATGTGCCCTGACCAGGAATTGGTGACGACCTGGTTCATAAGTCCATGTTCAACCACCGGCTGGACCCTAGGTGACTTTAAAAACACAATACACAGAGAACTTGTGGCCTTTCCTTAAGGAACATATGTCCCCAGAAATCCTTTGTTCACGAATTTTAAACCACAAATCTTGAGACTCAACAATGGTGTTTTTTTGAGCACTTACTATATGCTAGGCACTGCGCTAAGGTCGTTACATACACCAGATCTTGAATCCTGGTAATAACCCTAAGAAGTAGATGGTATTATCCCAATTTTACAGATTAGGAAATTAAGGCATAAGGAAGTTAACCTGCCAACAATCACACAAATTGGTTTGTGGCAGTTTCACTTCTGATTTGAGTCCAGGTTATGTGATTTCGAAAACCTGTTGATCTCAAGCTCTTAAGTGGGGGCCAGAGTGAAACTGGAAATTGGTTGGGTAGTTGTTTAAGACATTGTCATTACTTTTGAATGCTTTGACTTACCCCCTTCCTCCACTCCACTGCCAGCTAGTGTTTCCTCTTCCTCCCCCTCCTCTCCCTTCTCCTGGTGTCTGCTACTGCTCTAGAGTCTGATGTAACTCCCCCTCTGAAGTGTATTGATGTCAAGCTTTGTCTTCAAGCCCTCCAAAAACACCAGTGCTTTTAAGAATACTTGGAGGGAATGCCTTAATCTAAGAAAGTTTGAGTCAGTTCAGACACTTAGTGAGGGCCCATTAATACCAGGCCCAGTGCAGGGTGCTGGGATAGAGATAAATAGGACATAGTGCTTTTCATTGAGGGGGTTAGAGCCCGCTGGGGTATCATGTCTCTATAGCATTGTGTGTTAGGATTTCACATGTAGGTGGTGTTGGAGCCCAGAAAAGGAATATCTAATCCTTTGGGGAAAGTGTCAGGGAAGGTTTGGATGATAAAGTAACAACTGAACTGAGTCTTAAAGGAAATGCCAAAGCCAAGTGAGAGCAACAGGTGCATTTCAGGCGAGAAGAGGGAAACAGCATGGTACTGAAATGGTGAGGTACAGTGCTGATTTGAGAGGTGGGAAAGAGAGCTTTAGGCAAAAGCATTATCCCTACCACTTATGGTGAGGATGTTAGAGTCCTTTGAGTAATGGCTTAGAGTAACCAGAATTATTTATCTACATGTGAGCCAACTTAAGGAGAGTACAATAGGGTCTTTAGATGTTTGAAAGGCTGTCACGTTGAAGAGATTCTTGGCAGTAGAGTATTTTAGGTTGTCACTGAGCATTGTAGAGTTCTGGGCTTTTATAACTCCACTAGAGGCCCGGTGAATGAAATGTATGCACTGGGCAAGGGGTGGGGCAGTCCCTCAGCCCAGCCTGCACCTTCTTGCAGCCTAGGAGCCTTCAGTGGATGTCCAACTGACAGCTTATGCCTGCTCCCCACAAAGTCAGACATCCTTAGCACTGCTATGATGGTGGGAAAGGCTCCTGCCACTTCTGCGCTTGCCAGCCTTGAGCCCGACTTCTGGCTGAGCAGCACTCCCTGGTGGTCAGTTCATGTCATAGCAACAGGTCATTCCGCAGTTCGGTCGATTTGTATATTAGCCTTTTATTATTTAGGATAAGATTCCTTATCTTCCCTGCTAGCCTCAATCTTTGGATCCAGGCATCTGTCTTTTTTTTTTTTTTTTTTTTTTGAGTCTTCACCCAAGCATATGTTTATTTGTTTTAGAGAGAGGAAGGGGGTGGGGAGAGAGAGAGAGAGAGACAGACAGACAGACATTGGTTTGAGAGAGAAGCATTCATTGGTTGCCTCCTGTACACGCCCTGACTGGGATTGAACCTGCAACCTAGTTATGTGCCCTGTTCAGGAATTGAACCTATAACCTTCTGGTGCACAGGACAATGCTCCAGCCAATCAGGACCCCTGGCCTGGGCCAGGTGTTTGCATTTTTAATGAGAGCCCCTACATAACAAGGTAAGTTGAATGCAGATGTTCCTTGGACCACTCTTTAGAACTCTGAGGAAGAAACGAAGACCCGTGTCCACGTGGAAGTTGCAGAGAGGATAATCCTTTGGCTGGACCAGTGAAGAGAGGTGTTTGGGGCATGGCCTAGGAAATTGGGGTGTAAATCCAGTAGAATCTCTCTTAACCCTGGGACTGTCTGATTCTCTGAAATCTCCCCGCCGGGCAGCTCTTCTCATTGGCTCTCTTTCCTCCCCAGGAGCAGGAACTTAAAGCTGCTGCCGATGGTGTCTTGTCCGAAGTGAGGAAAAAACAAGCAGACACCAAAAGGATGGTGGACATTCTGCGGGCCTTGGAGAAATTGAGGAAACTCAGGAAAGAGGCTGCAGCAAGGAAAGGTAACCGGGACTTTGCATTTCTACTTGCATTTCTTCCTTTGTTCCCCTGTTCCTTCCCCTTCTTTACCATAGCGCTTGCCCTTCCCCAAAAATTTTGAAGGAAAATGCTTGATACTTCACATTTTTCACCCAGTAGGGTAACTGAGCTTGTCAGCAGTATCTCAGAACCTTTGATGGTTAGCTCTTGGTAGCCAAGGTTGGAAGAGAGGCAGGTGTGGGAACCCACTGCACCATCTTCCCCTGGACTCATCATTCCCACACCAGGCATGCCTGGCCTCATTTTTCTGAGTAAGGTTGACAGGGCTGGTCAGCTTTACCCATGTGCCAAGGTGAAAGCTGTCCTATCCTGTCCTTACTTCAGGCTTCAGAAGGTGTTGAAAACTTGGCATGTTCCTTCAGATACATTTCAAAGCTGAAACATGGATATTTGAAGAGGTGTGAATGGGATCTGTCTGGAGTGACCTCTTTCCCATCTTTGCTATTTTAAGATCTCACTATCCTTTAAAACCAAATTTAGATGTCATATCTCCCATCCTTCTCTGCTCTGGGCTAAGTTGACCTCCTACTCCTTTTTAAAGAAACAGTTTAGTACTATACTTAGGTTAGTCTTGAAAGTATTAACATTTCCATTATAGAAATAATCCATGCAAAGGAAAAAATAACATGCCTAAGATTATTCATTGTAACATTATATGATAACAAGTTATTTGGAACAGATTAACTGTCCAGGACTAGAGCGCTTATTAAGTAAATTATGGTAGGTACATTGATTTGGTGTAACAGGATGGAGCCATTAAATAATTATAAGGAGAGGAAAAAAATGTAGGGAATTGACATGGAAATACGTAAGTTACATACATTTTATATTGAACTATGTGAAGTTGCTAATACATGAACAAAAATGGTTGGAGGATCAACATGGGGAAATAAAAAGGGTTGATTATGTTAAAAGAATTAGGATTTTTTTTATTCCATGTATCTGGTATTGTTAAAATGATGCAGTAATACATACATTTTCCTTTAAAACCTTTAATGTCTGATAGGATTGACCACACATCACTCTAGGATGAATTAACAGCTTCAGCAACTTTTTTATTGCAGGGCCATTATGGTAGTAACTATTGCAACCTGTTTGAATATTCAATAAGTTTCAGAAAGTTTTCCTTATGAAATGTTATGAAAACTTTCACATGTGTACAAAAATAGAATGCCTAAGGTAAATTACTCATCATCAATTATGCCATTATCACATAAACTTAGTAATAATTCTTGCATATCATCTAATAACTAGTCTAAAATGTTCCCAGTTGTGGCTATAGCTATGTTGGCTATAAAATTAGCTGACCTCACAATTAAATCAGGGTGACCAACCATCCCACATTTCCCAGGACACTTGGTTTCCAAGTGCTAACACGGGCAAACTGACACACTTGGTCACCATACTCTCAGCAGCAGACTGTGAGGCCAGTGTGGCTGGTTAAATGTATTTCTTCTCAATATCCATATGTGCTTTCCCAGAACTTCACACTTAAAGGGAGAATTGTTTTTTGCTGTGGGGATTTTGTAATGAAGAATAAAAGACAGCTTCTTCCTTTTGGGAGCCCACTCTCTAACCATTAGAAATAAAATCAAAAGTTAAGTGGTAGTCTCCAGAAAGAGGAATTAGAGAAAAAAGAAAGTCAGGGTGGGGTCAGATTAATTGGAGATTCAAATTGATCTGTGAAGAGGGATTAGAATTTATAAATTCTAAGCTAATTCATACTGTAAGTAGGACCTTGAGTTGGCTCATTAGAACACAGATTTGGAGATAAGAAAACGTTGTGACTAAAATGCCATTTGCATCTCTTTGCCCAGGGGTCTGTCCTCCAGCCTCAGCAGATGAGACTTTTGAGCATCATCTTCAGCGACTGAGAAAACTCATTAAAAAACGCTCTGAACTGTATGAAGCTGAAGAGAGAGCCCTCAGAGTTATGTTGGAAGGAGAACAAGAGGAAGAGAGGAAAAGGGAACTAGAAAAGAAACAGAGGAAAGAAAAAGAGAAATTTTTATTGCAGAAGCGGGAAATTGAGTCCAAGTTATTTGGGGATCCAGGTAAGTTCCTCTGTATCCAGTGGAGAAAAGGACAATACTAGATTGGCTTATCTCATTGGTGACCTCAACCTAAGCTAAGAGATCGGTAGGCAACAATGACGCCTAAACTATACCCTGGAAATCATGGATAAAGATGAAACACGGTTGGTCATTGTCATCTTGCCCTGAGAAATGCACTCTGGATGGGAAGTGTGACGGTGTGGTATTGTGCCTTTTCTTTTTCAGATGAGTTCCCACTCGCTCACCTCTTGCAGCCTTTCAGGCAGTATTACCTCCAGGCTGAGCACTCCCTGCCGGCTCTCATCCAGATAAGGTCAGAGAAGCACTCTCCATGTTGCCTATATCTTTATTTTTTTAAGTTTCTAATGGGTTTTTAGAAAGTTTCCAAGTGTTGGGGATGCCACAAACATCTGTTTAGTCCTCACTCATCCTTGAGAAAGCAATATCCCTATTCTAACAGGTGAAGGAACAAACTCAGTGTGACATGCCCTTTTGTGTTCTCCCAGGCTGTGCTGTTACGTTGACTTAAAGCACTGGCTCCCCTTTTCTAGTTCTCTTCTGCTGCTAAGTAGACCTCCCTGAATATTTGCCTATGGACACTGTTTAAGACCCATGCTGCTGTGAGTTCTTACAGGTCAGAATCAAGAGAGCTAGGAACACTTACATGCAATTAATGCTGAGCTATACTTGGCAGCTCTCTGCGCCTCCCTCTTCCTCACCTATGATATGAAGATGGTGGACTAGATGTGGCCTTCAAACTTTGGCAGTAGTACTCTTCCCAAGTGCAGTCTTTGGACAAATCAGTTTGTAAAACAGAATGAATGAATGGGTTCCACAGGTAACTTAAATCGTTTATTGATTGGAAGCATTTTGTTGTTTCTAGACTCCCAAAGCATCTACTTGGGGTCTAGGGGTCTTCAAAGCCTGGCTTGAAATTCATGGACCTAAGTGATTTCTAAGGTTCTTTCCAAAGCTCCTACAGTGCTCTTTTGCATACCAATTTATATCTGGGAAAAGTGCATTTCTGGCTAATATACAAGTTTTAGCTTTTAAACATAACTACAGTCAGTTCTTGTTTTTTACAGTATCTGTATTCTATAAAGCCACAAACACTGAATCGGGGAATACTGAACAGCTGCTGCTCCTAAAGGAAATATATGATTAGGTTTCTGTGGGCCTCTGGCCACATTGTCATCAACTGATCAATACATAACATTGCTTTATGTTATTTCTTTTTAAAGACACCTCATTTAATATATCTTTCTTAAAATATATATACATATATATTTTATTGATTTCAGAGAGGAAAGGAAAGAGAGAGAGAGAGAAACATCAATGATGAGAGAGACCCGGCTAGTGTGGCTCAAACCAGGAGGTCTCAGTCAGGGCATATGCTCAGGGTGTGGACTCAATTTCCAGGGTGGGGCATGCAGGAGGCAGTCGATCAATGATTCTCCTCATTTATGTTTCTATCTCTCTTCCTCTCCCTTCTTCTCTCTCTAAAATCAGTAAAAACATTTTTTTAAAATGACTATAAATTCTTTGGAGTTTTTCCCCCTTTATATGTATATTTAAGAAATGTAGTCTTTTGCATTATTCCTGATAATCTAGTTCTTTAGTACATCAGCCATTGAAAAGGTAGGCCCTGAAATAGATTATTTAGTTGCTCAACATCTTCTTGGACTAAAACAGAAATAAACCGTTGCTCTGTAATGTTCCTATTCAGGCATGATTGGGATCAATACCTGGTGCCATCTGATCATCCTGACGGCAGTTCTGTTCCCCAAGGATGGGTCCTTCCACCGCTCCCCAGCAACGACATCTGGGCAACTGCCATTAAGCTGCGTTAGTGCAGACGCTGCAGGAGTGGGGACCAGCAACGCTCTCTGCAGCTCTGGGTATTAGTGATGCTGCCATCTTCTTGTGCTGTAGACTGAACAGCAACCTTCAGCTCCACATGGCACAGCCCTTCCCAGAAGTTCCGTTTTCCCTCCATGCTCTGTCCTGGCCAAATGCGCTTTGGAAACCGATTAATAAGGTTCTCTGGAAAAGAGCTAGGTGAACTGAGGCTATTGCCCCTGAATTTGCCTGTTTTGAGGGGCTTGGTCCAGAGTGACTGGCTAATTTACTCAGCTTCCTTATGTGGCAGCGGGTAGGTACATGCCATACACTCAGCACCCAGGTGTGCTCTGGGTAGTTTAGTAGCCCTCTCGCCACTGCAGAGTGTGAAGGCAAACTTGATGCAAAACCTCCATATCCTTCCTACCCGTGCAGCCCTCTGACTTCCATGAAGAAGAGGAGGATGCGTTACCTGGGAAGCCCACTTTTGTGCCGCTTGAGAGGCTGTCACTGCAGGCGGGGCTGGCGTAAAGCTGTGGCTCAGCCGGGTGCTCATGTGGAGAGCTCGGGACCCCTGAGGAGTCCCCACACCTACACGGGAGCGTGTCTCAGTGGGGGACGGCTACATGCTCCCTGTAGAAGGATCCTAATGAAAGGAACCGCTTTGTAAGTTCCTAGAGGCCCAGTTGTTCAGAATCCCTAAGGATAGAAGTTTATTTCCCTGTGGGAGTAGGACCTTAACCTCAAGTCTTGAGAAGGGGCCGATACAACTGTGGAATTTCTTAGGAATATTCATGTAGTGAAAGCTGGGGAAAGCAGATAAAAATAATGAAGTTTATTTTTTTATATTCATTAATAAATAAATGCTCTTGTGCCTGGAGATGATCAGTGATATAACATGTCAGTTTTTGTTTTATTTTGCCTTTTGTCATTTACTGTTATTTATATTTCCAAAAACCTAAATAAATATTTTTATTTTTCAGTTTGAGCCTTTGCTCCCAATTTGTTGCCTCCCAAATCACTGCGCACACTTTCACACTGAAAGGACACGTTTCCACTCCAAAATTCAAGTTTATTAAACAGGCACTTGCTAGAGAAGATGGATCTACACCACCGAACTCTGTCTGGAATCCAGCTACGGGTAGGCAGGAAAGGGTGCCATCAACCTTAGAAATGATTTCACAGTCAGAAGCTGTTGGGTGCAAAGATGCTAAAACCTTCGTTCTTTTCCATTGCTTAATTTGCACTGTTAAATTTATGTGGTGTGCATTACACAGTTAACAGGATGTGAGCCAGCACTCCTCCAAAGGGTGTCTAAGCTCATAATCTGAAATCTGATGTGATAGCTTCACTTGGCCCCATAGGCCTGTGTGCCCTTTGTTATAAATCTCCACCATTTGCTCTCCGATGAGGTGCAGAAACAGAGAAATAAAAGAGGACTGGCACAGTACGTTGTATGTTTGGTGTCCCGATAGCCTTGCCAGTAAGACGGCTGCATTGATGGGTCAGGGAGTGTAAAGCAGGGACTCGGGCAGCCCGACCCGAGGAAAAGGTATTGAATGCAGGTGGAAAAACCATCCCCTCTTGCCTTTGGCAACTTCAGTGTTTGAATAAAGCGAGTGTTTTGTAAGTTTTCCTTGGTTTGTTGCCTTCAGTGGTGGTGGCAGCAGGCACTGGGCTTAGAAAGTAAGACTTATGAGAATATGGACAGTGTCATCGTAATCTTATCCCACAGTCTTTTATTAAAAAATTGTGCAGTCCTGGCTGGTGTGACTGGGTTGGAGTATCGTCTGCTGGAAGGTCGCCAGTTTGATTACTGGTCAGGGCACATACCTAGCTTGCAGGTTCAACTCCTGGCAGGGTGTGTACAGAGGCAACCCATCAATGTATCTCACATTGATGTTTCTCTCTCCCTATCTAAAATTAATAATAAATTATTGTGCAAAATTTCAAACATCAAAAGTAAAGATGATAATATAATCTCCCCCCCCCCCCCCCCCCCCATATATCCATCATCCAGCTTCAAATAATTGTCAACTCCTGGACAAGCCTGTTTCATCTGTACCCCACCACTCTGGATTATTTTAAAGCAAATCTCAGACATAATATTACTTAATACATTTTTCAGTTTATAGCTCTAAAAGATGTTTTTAAAATGTAACCACAGTGCTCTATCACACCTAATGAAACAAATAACTCCATAATAATGGGGGGGGAAATCAGTGTTCAAATTTCCTTATCTCACAAATGTGTGTTTTACATTGTTCAAATCAAGATGTAGATGCAGTCTATGCATTGTTGGTTGATATGTCTGTTAAGTTTCTGATCATCTTTAGAAACTTATTCCCATGTACTTTGTACTCTTTCTCTCCCTTGTAATGTTTTGCTTGGAAAAAATCAGGTCATTTTTTTTCTTGAAGTTCCCAGTCTGGATTTTGCTAATCGCATCCTTGGGATAGCATGTTCCTCTATTCTATATTTCTTGTAATTTAGTGATTAGAGCTGTACTGTCTGATATGGTAGCCGTGTATGGCTATTAGGCACTAAAAATTGAGAGTTTGAATTGAAATTTGGGTTTGAATTGAGATGTACAATTACATATTTGGCTCACATTTCTATTGAACAGTGCTGATCTAGAAACTTGATCACATTTAGATTGGAATATTTTGGATTTACTATTTCATAGACCTGGTATGTAATTCAGGAGGACTAATGCCTGCTTGTCTCTTTCTGTGACCTTAGAAGTCATTGATAATTAAGTTGCATTTGGGGTTACCAAATAGTTTAATTCTGCCATTCTTTATTAGTTGGAATACTTCTAAAAGGAGAAATATCCCCTCACCAACTATTTTGTTATCCTTGGGTACAATTTGCATAGGAAAGACAAGAGATAAATATGTAATTTCCTTGATTTACTAGTTGTTTTTAAAAAAATATATTTTACTGATTTTTTTACAGAGAGGAAGGGAGAGGGAGAGCTAGAAACATGGATGAGAGAAAAACATCAATCAGCTGCCTCCTGCACGCCCCCCACTGGGGATCGAGCCCACAACCCTGGCATGTGCCCTTGACCGGAATCCAACCTGGGACCCTTCAGTCTGCAGGCCGATGCTCTATTCACTGAGCCACACCAGCTAGGGCTACTAGTTTTCAAAATAGTGGTTTCCAGCCTTGTCCAAACTTGAGTGAATTTTGTGTCCAAGTTTCTTTGTGAACTCCGATCTAAACATATTTAACTTTCAACTCATTTTATTGTTTTCTGTATTGATTATGTCACCTTGAGCCAATGGGAGTCTCTTTAACTCAGCTCCTTAGTTCCCATTTGATCTCAGTATTCTGCTCCAAATCTATTTTTCACATTTCCTACCCCAGAGGAAGAAATGACTGGAATCAGGTTCCTCTTCAGTGGAAAAAGGCATTTACAAGCCACAGCCTGCATGATAGGGGGCTCATTATTATTGATGATCATTGCTAGTCAGTTCTTATTTTTTTCTGTTAGAACTAAGAACTACAGTTTTGTTGAGTCTCCAGCCCTCTTCTAAATCATGCCTTTTTAACACCTATAACACCTATAGTACTCTATGTATTGAACAAAAATTAATGAAAATAGAGAAGCTCACTCGAAGACTAACCAGAAATGTATTGATTCATCATGTCTTATATGCAAGAATATTGTTTATCTTCCCAGTAGAGACAGCCCTGGACTTGTGGGGAGCTTTAACAAAATAATTTATTTTTAAGAAATTAAGTAAGTACAGGGAAGAAGAGAAAATTAAAAAAGAGGTTAGTTATACATTAATACCAAGAGTGTTCATCCCCGTGGCTGAGTTTATGACGTCAAAGACTTTGGTATAAGCCAACCAGTTTAATCTCTCTAAAGCCATTCATGTTTCTTGTCCACGTGACTTTTGTGCAAGGATATATCAAGAAGTTTAGCTGGGATTATACCATCTGTTGTAGCAATTCACTCCTATGAGTTTGGCCATAGGGAAGCTATCCTGAGAATTACAAGGTAAGCACAAAGTATGTCTTGTTCCATTCAAACAAGTATAAAATATAGCAGGAATGTGAAAGTTATGAACTATTAGCAGTGGTATATAGTATGGGCTAGAGATAATATGAGGCATTTCCAACTTAATCTTTTTTTTAATGCTTATAACCAGTAAGCTATTTCTGAATAACTGTACTTTTGGAATAAGCTGCATTTCTTACAGTCTCCGAAGCAAAGATTGAAGGTTTTGAAGTGATTGGTGTTGAAGTGCATAATTATACAGAACAGGAGACACTTCTTAACTTCATTAACTCACGCCTGACAGAATCTAGATACCTGGACTTGAACCATGTACTTGGGAAATTATTTTGATTTACTATTTTCCAGGTATGATGTTAAGTGCTACAGACATAAAAAGGAGCAAAAGGATTCCTGCCATCCTGGAGTTAGAGTAGAGAAGCCTAATGACTGTACAGATATAATAATTAGTTACAATTGTGATAAGTGCTAAAAGTGCTTACTCACCAATTTATATTTTTCATTATTCAAATATTTACTAAGTGATTTTTGAGGATCAGATAATTTGTTGAATACAAGGGCTATCGTAATGAACAAAATACTAAATACACCCAAACACATGTTTTGAGGGAGATAGACATAATCCAATAATCATAAAAATGTGCTGAGTGTTTCGAAGGACAGATATGGTTCTATAAGATTAGGCCTCTTTCCTCCCTCCCCCCCCCAAACGGAGTGTTCTGTAATGCATTTAGATGAAAAATAGAAAATATCTATATTATATAATAAAGGTAAGAAATGTCATTATTCAGTTTATGTCACAAAATCAAATATATTTTATCCTGTGGGTCATAGTGAAAAAAGTTGAAAGCCACCATACTAGGTGAACCTATCCAAGTCGGGCTCAGGGAAAGCTTTTTTGAAGAAATTATATTTCAACTGAGCTCTGAAAAATGCACAGCTCTTAACTAGTTGGGAAGAGACAAGGAAGAACATAGCGAGTATCTGGAATAGCCTATGCAAGAGCCTTGTGCTAGACGAAGAGACCAAAGAGACTGAGGAACAACATAGCGAGAGTGAGAAGGGAGGGGCCAGACTGTGTTTGATTCTGAGAGCAGTTGGAAGCTTTTAGGAATGGTTGGTTGCTGCTTCGAAATGATCACTTTTGTCCCGGTGTGTAGACCACAATTACAATAATAGGGCGTAAGAGGATACATGGACACCAGTGGTCCAAGTGAGAGAACTGAGGGATGAAGAGCAGTTTGGGGGAGGGAAAACCAGGACTTCACTTTGGATATGTTGGGTTTGAGACACCCTGGAGACATCTTGGAGAAGTCTTGTAGGCAGATGTGCATTTGAATTTAATCTCAGAAGAGAACTGGAGGATTTCACGTGTGAGTCATTGGCACAGAGATTATTGACGTTATGGGCAAGGATGAAGTAGTCATTGAGAGTATAATGGAGACCTTTAAACATAATCTAATGTCATTGCCTGGGCTCCTTGTAGACTGATTACCATAACTCCCACCCACCCTGCCCCTTGCCCTCAAGCTCAGTCACAGCCAAATGGACACAGGTCATTGGAGAGATCAAGTATTATGCTGTTTGCTGAAGCATCACAGACTGGCATTCCCACCACCCCACTCCCCCACCCTCACCACGCCCCTGAGGCCCCTTCAGAGCTTTCTCCACTGTCTACCGAATGGAGTCAGAATGGAGTCAGCGCTCAGCCTAATGTTCAGGGCCCGCCCAGCTCCCCCAATCTTACTGGAACTGCTTCCCAGCACACACTATCTACTTGAGTTAAGCAGTGTGTCCCCCCACTCACTCTGCCCTGCCTCTGTTCCCTGGCTCACATCGCCCCTTCCCTGGTATTACACTCTCCACCCCACTTCTGCACTGCTCACCCCACCCTCCAGGGTCCGGTCAAGTCCCATCTTTCCTGAAGCTTCCCCATCCACGAGGACTAGAATACTCCCTTTCCTCTGAAGAATATCATCCCTTAACAGTCTGTACTTCTCATTTTGTACTTAGCAGAGGTGACTGTCACTTTAGAATATGTCCTAACTAGATCACTATAGCCCTTGCTGTTCTTAAGAGATGTATTTGCAGAATCCTCAAACTCTTCAATTACTCCAGAAGCAAATAGAGAATACCTATCGAGGATACAGATGCTGGGCCAGAGGTAAGGAAGGTCGAGGGTGGCCCTGTACCTGCTCATTGGACCTGCGGCAGTTCACACTTGGGTGTCAATAAAATTGAAGCTCTTCTCCATGGCTCAAAATTCTAATGGTAGCTGAAAATGTGAATGACAAACCTGAGAATGCCAACATTTGCTAACTTTCCTGTGTTTCCTGCAAAGCCCCGTACCTCAAAGTCCCCTGTAAGAACAGCGTGTTGGGGCATATAATTTACTGATCACGCTGGAACCTGTCTGAACCTGTAGCAAAGAGCCACTCCAATGTGCTGGGAGACAGTCTTCTGAGTCTTAGAAAAGTAAGATACTGACAAGAGTGAGCTTACAGCAGAGATGAGGGAATTAAGGGATTCGCCTGTCAAGTCTCATTTGGCCTTTCTATACTCAGATTACCTACTCTACATCTTTACATAATGCTCTCATGTGGGCATGGGGATGACCCCAGTGACCTTACATTACATCATACACAAAAGTCAATTCTATGGGCTTTGACATTAAGCCAAAGGTACTCCTAGGTAAACCCTGATTGTTTGCAAAATGTCAGACTGCATTCAGGATTCTGGATTACATATTATGGGCAGTCATTCGCTTGAATGACTTTTCTTGGCCCTCTACATTTTATTTAAATTTTAGAATTAGTTTGCCAATTTACACCAAAATGTGATGGAATCTTGATATGTGAGATCTATAAATCAATTCAGGGAGAACTGATATCTTTACATTACTGAATCTTACAATCATGGTCATGGTATGTTCCTCCATTTATTCTATTATTTTACAGTTTTCTGTGTAGAGGTTGTTTTATACTGAGTCCTAGATAGTTGATGCTAATATCAATAGTATCTTTTAAAAATTGAAATCTCTAATTTCTAATTATTTAAATGTAACATTTACATGGTTTGTTGTTTGTATATAAAGATATAATTGATTCTTATATATTGATCATATATCCAATAACTTTCATAAATTCTTTCGTATTTTCTACATATAATTATGTCATCTATAAATAATGGTGGTTTTCTTTCTTTCTAATCCTCATACTTTTATTTGTTTTTCTTCTCTCTCTTTCCCCCCCCCCCCAAATATATTTTATTGACTTTTCACAGAGAGGAAGGGAGAGGGATAGAGAGTTAGAAACATCGTCGATCAGCTGCCTCCTGCATACCCCCCACTTGGGATGTGCCCACAACCAAGGTACATGCCCTTGACCAGAACTGAACCTGGGACCTTTCAGTCCGCAGGCCGACTCTCTATCCACTGAGCCAAATCGGTTTCAGCTGTTTTCCTTCTCTTTTTAACAGGCTAGTACCTCAGTGTAATGTTGAACAGAAGAGAGGATGGGGACGTCCTTGTCTCATCATTTCCAATCTTGGGGATATCCTTCAGTATTTACTATCAAGTGGATGTTTGCGTTAGATATTCTGGAGCTATTTTTATTAGGTTAAGGAAATTCTTTTCTATTCCTAAGTTGTTAAAAGGGTTTGTTGTTCTTAAAATAATGGAAAGGTATTAATTTTATCAAGCACTCTTTCTGCATCTATGGAGAGAAATAATTATATAATTTTTTATGTTTTATTCTAGTGGTGTTTATCTTTACTCCCATTGATTGATTTTGAAATGTTAAGCCAACCTCTCATTCCTGAAATAAACTCAACTTGGCAGTATTTTTTTATCCATAATTATTTTTGTTAAGATTTCTTTCATTTATATTTATGAGAGATCAGCATCTAATTTTCTTGTCAAGTTTGGTATCAAGTTGATGCCAAACTAGTTAGGAATTATTCCTTCTTTTCTTCTTTTCTGGAAGAGTTTTTGTAATTTGACATTTCTTCCTTAAACATTTGAATGAAAACTCTTTTTTTGCTAATTTTAATCCATTGACTTTGATATTTATTACACTGGGGGTGAAAACTCTTTTGATGCAAGACTTTAGAACTAGAGTTTTAGACTTTGTTTTGGTAAACAATGCCCTAGTGTAAGACTTAAACATGAATTAGTCAATCCCTGACAGTTTGAACGGTCTTGTTTTTATCCATTTCCTCCCTATGCAGCACTGGCCACATTACCTTTCCTTCTTAGCTGAGGGACTCGGCTAAGTCACCACAGAGGGGAGCACCGAGGCCATTTGAGGCCTGAGCCTGGTCCTCAGGACTACACTCTGCCACTGCCATCAGGCAGCCTGCCTCAGCCATCACCACACTCCCCTGACAGGATGAGTGCCCTGGATGGTGTCCCTTTCAAGGTGCCCACGGGCTTTCTGACCAGCACAGAGCTGCTCCCTGGGCCAGAACTCAGTGTCCCAGCCTGCAGGGAGCTTCTGCTGGGCTCTATGGTGAGAGTATTTCTCTGTCTGTCTGTCTGTCTGTCTATGTAACTCCTAGTCCCTGGGCCTGTGGGCCTGATGCTGAGACTCATGGGACCTTGTTCCTTGATTTTAAAGGGCAGCTAGGCCTGCTCTGGTATATTTCAGGGAGTTTGGAAATAAATAAGAGGGGAAGGTGTTTCATGAGGAAGGCTGGTTGCCTGATGAGGATTATGTACTGGGTCTTATTTTAGCGTTAGGGTAACTGGAAGGTCACCTATATAAAGTGACTGAGGATCATGGCACGGATGTTTCAGTTCCTCTCTGCTGCCACATCTAAAATTCCATTAGAATCACTCCTTAGGGTTAAGACACTGGATCCAGAATCCTCTGTTAAAATGCCACCTGTGGCACATTAGGAAGGAATAATATTTTAGAGGCACCATTTCTTTTTAAAGGATCTCAATTCTTTTCTCTTTTTTAATGTATTTTATTGATCTTTTACAGAGAGGAAGGAAGAGGGATAGAGAGCTAGAAACATCAATGAGAGAGAAACATCAACCAGCTGCGTCCTGCACACCCGTTATGGGGGATGTGCCCGCAAGCAAGGTACATGCCCTTGACCGGAATAGAACCTGGGACCTTTCAGTCCGCAGGTCAATGCTCTATCCACTGAGCCAAACCAGTTTCGGCTAGAGGCACTCTTTTTTTTTTTTTTTTTTTTTTTTTAAATATATTTTATTGATTTTTTACAGAGAGGAAGGGAGAGAGATAGAGAGCCAGAAACGTCGATGAGAGAGAAACATCGACCAGCTGCCTCCTGCACACCCCCTACTGGGGATATGGCCGCAACCAAGGTACATGCCCTTGACCGGAATCGAACCTGGGACCTTTCAGTCCGCAGACCGACTCTCCACCACTGAGCCAAACCGGTTTCAGCTAGAGGCACTCCTAAAGCACCCCTTGCCCCACAGTTCACATACTCGGATAGGCACCAGTGTATATGGACATATCGCATGTGGCCTCAGGATAAACATGATTAACTTCCAGAAGAATCAAGTTTGCTTGAAGGATTAGGGGGGAACCTATTGTATTCACATTAGAACACAGATATATCATGGGGTAGCATGCAAAATTCACACATGAATTCTTTTAAAATGAAAGAATAAACCTTAACCAGTTTGGCTCAGTGGATAGAGCACTGGCCTATGGACTGAAGGGTCCCAGGTTCGATTCCTGCCAAGGGCATGTATCTCGGTTGTGGGCTTGTTCCCCAATAGGGATTGTGCTGGAGGCAGCTGTTCCATGTTTCTCTCTCATTGATGTTTCTAATTCTCCATCTCTCCTTCTTCCTCTCTGTAAAATCAATATAACTATACTTTTTAAAAATAATAATAAATAAATAAAAATGAAAGAATAAGATTGCAAAGAACTGTGGAGCTGACTTTGGGCCTCTTGGGACCAGTATGCAGACTCCTACATGCTCATTCTCCACTGTCTGCCGGGTGCTACGTGGAAAAGTTTGAGGATCTAGGTAAGCTTTCACTCATTTTGAGGAACCTGAAACCCAGAAAAGGAAATGACTTGTACAAAGTTAGTGACAGGACTAGAACCCAAGTCCTGACTCCAGGTGATTTTTTGTTAGCTAAGAGCAGGACTGGAACATGAGAGACACTGGACAGGTGATGTTTGAAGGCCAAGGATTTCAGGAAGTCAGCAGGGAGCACAGTCCAGAGGGAGAGCCCTGAGAGGGGCTCGGAGGTGCGGGGCAGTTTTGCTCCGTCTGCAGACCCCGGAGTTGCACTGAGGCTCCTCGGGACAGATGCTTCCAGAGCTGCAATAAGCCCAGCGCACCCTGTGGGGCGGGAGCTCCTGCTCTCCCACACCCTGTGCTGTGGGCACTCACTCTGGCAGGAGAGCTTGTGTTGTTGGGAAGAGGAATTCGCTTTACTGAGCGCCAGTAGAGGTGAATTATCACAGCTTTTCCTCCCCTGCTGAGCTCGAGGCAAGCTGGGAAGAGGCTGTTGTTTTCCTAGAAGCAGAAACAGGCCCCCTTCCGCCAGGCCCATGTCTGGTGTCCCAGCCAAATGCTGACCTGGCCTTGCCTCCTGCTCTCAGGGTGGGCACCTGCAATCCCTTAAGCCTATTTCCCTTCCTGAGCCTCCATTTCATTAACTGTTGGGCCAAACTAACAAACAGAGAAGCATGAGACTCCAGGTATGATTTACAGTGTCTCCTGATCAGTCCTTCCAGCTCACTGGGCTGTACTCCCAGTGTTAAGAACTTAAAATGCGTTTTCCCATAACGATGATGCTAGATTAACCAAGGAATCTGTCGTGGCCTAAAGAAAAAAAAGAATAACAGCTGCCATTTACTGAGCACCTACTGTGCACCAGGCCCCTGTTAGGTGCTCTTTACATGTTCACTCTTCTCTCTCATTTTTATGAGTCTTTCAGCTGGGTGTTCTTACCCCACGGCACAGGAAACCAAAGCTCCACACTCCCCAACCCTCCAACCCCCCCCCCCCTTCACCTACCCCTCCACCCCACCCCTCCGAGTGATCCACAGGGTCTCATGGCTCGAGGGATGCAGCCAGGATTGCTCGCCAAGGGACAGGCAAATGTATTTCAGTGTAGTTTTATTTTGCTTTCTCTCTTTTTTATTATTATTTTTTAATATATATTTTATTGATTTTTCACAGAGAGGAAGAGAGAGGGATAGTCAGAAACATTGATGAGAGAGAATCATCAATCAATTGCCTCTTGCACACCCCCTACTGGGGATGTGCCCGCAACCAAGGTACATGCCCTTGACCTGAATCGAATCCGGGACCCTTCAGTCCGCAGGCCGATGCTCTATCCACTGAGCCAAACCGGTTTCGGCTATTTTCTTTCTCTTATTACGAGTAAGGTTGAGCAGCTTTTTCTTATTTAAAAGAACTCTTTATTCCCTTTTCTGTGGACTGTTCATATTATCTTTTGTCCACTTTCCTGTTGGGCTGTGAGTCTTTTTCTTATCTATTTCTAGGCACTCCCTATATTAGTAAAGTTAGTACTTTATCTCTGTGTCAGTGTTATTCTGCTCCCCACCCCCCTGCCACCCAGTTTGTCATCTGTCTTTGACCTTGCTCATGACATTTGCCATGCAGATTTTGGGCATATGCCTTGTGTACTTTTATGGCTTCTGGATTTTGATTCTGAGTAAGAAAGGTTTTCCTCCTTGATGTTATAAAGGATTTCTATCTTGTTTTCTTCTAATACTTTTATGGTTCCATATCACACATTTGAATCTTTGATCTTTTTTAAATTTATCTTTTTGTATATAATGTGATAATGGATCTAACTTTATTTTCATCCAGATAACTAACACTATTTATTGGTTAGTTCTTTTTCCCATTGCCTGAGATGCTATCTTATTATTTACTAAAGCCCTATAGATATTAAGGTCTATTTCTGGACTTTCTATTCTCTACCTCTAATCTATCTGTGCCAGTACCATAGTTACAGTGCCAGTTTTAATTATTGATGTTTTATAGTAAAATAAAACAGTTGGTAGGGCCAGTCCTATTTATATTTTTGTCCCCTGAGTTTTTCTGGCTATTCTTATTTATTTTTCAGGTGAGCTTTAGAATCATCTCACTTAGTTCCAGAAATCACAAGTGTTGGTATTTTTATCGGGTCTTTATATCATTTTAACCCCGAAGTCCTGCTGGCTGTCTCTTTAATTTAGTCTCTCTCTCTCCAAGTCTATCTCACCAGTTCTGAAGTTGTCTTTTTCCTCTTAAGTTTTTCACAACTCATCTATTTTGCTCTACTCTCTTTCTCCAACCATGTATTCGCACGCCTTTACAAATGTCCACTCCGTGCCAGGCTCGCCCCGGCTCTGAGGAGTAAGCCATAGCCCTTGACCTTGGGGAGTCACACCGGACCAGCTAAATTATGCTCCTCTCCCCAGTGCGGGGTCATGTCCGAGGTGAGAGGGAACAGTGCCTGTCTGCCTGTCTATCTGCTCCCCTTTCCCTCACACACATTCCCCTAGCCTCTCTTTTCCTTAAATGGCCATCATAGAGCATTGAAATTGCCCTTAATTTTTATATATATATATATATTTAAAGCCATGTTATAGTCCTGGTTATTAATTTTAAAGGATTGTGACAGGAATATTTTATTTTTGCCTCATTTATAAACTCTCAAGTTAGCTCAGTGGTCGGCACACTCATTAGTCAAAAGAGCCAAATATCAACAGTACAACGATTGAAATTTCTTTTGAGAGCCAAATTTTTTAAACTTAAACTTCTTCTAACGCCACTTCTTCAAAATAGACTCGCCTAGGACGTGGTATTTTGTGGAAGAGCCACACTTGAGGGGCCAAAGAGCCGCATGTGGCTCGTAAGCCACAGTTTGCCGACCATGGAGTTAGGTTATTTATGTGGGCTCCAGATTGCTTCCTTAGGTGGCCTCATATGTAGTGGATAAAGCCCTACTGTCAGATGGTCAGAAAAATCCCAGCTCAGCCTCTCACCTCCAAGTTGACCTCCAGCAAATTAAATTCGCTGAGCCTCATTTTCATAATCTGGAAAAAGAAATAACACTAAAACCTACTAAGTAGGGTTCAACAAAGCTTAGCAAGTTTTCAATTGCCTGGGTCTCAAAGCAACCTCAGGTGGCGGCCAGGAGCATGGGGGCAGATGTCACCCACAGGGAGGGTACGTGCCTGGTGGGCTGCCAGGCTGACTGCTTCCGGCAAATGGTGCCGGGCTCAAGTGAAAGCGCCCTGAGCAAGTGTTTAAGCAGTTACTTCTGTCCAATAGCATACTGAATGGCAAAGGGACTTAGACATTAGATTTCACTGCATTCGTTCTTCATGCAGAGTTTAATTTGTTGTTATCTGCTGAAACCGGTTTGGCTCGGTGGATAGAGCGTCGGGCTGCAGACTGAAAGGTCCCGGGTTTGATTCAGGTCAAGGGCATGTACCTTGGTTACCGGCACATCCCCAGTGGGGGGTGTGCAAGAGGCAGTTGATGGATGATTCTCATCGATGTTTCTATCTCTCTCAATCCCTCTCTGTGTAAAGTCAATAAAATATATTTAAAAAATGAAATCAATTAAAAAAAATAAATTGTTGATATCCATCTACCCCGGTGCTAGCTAAAACGGAGGTGCGGAGGGTGCGGGTGGACTGTGCTGAGGGCCTGGGGCTCGGAATTGGAGGCCGTGCAGGTCTGGCTAGGGCGCACCGGAGGCCAGAGGTAGGGGTGCGCCCCCGAGCCCAGGTTTGCCTGGCTGCGCCTCACGCAGCCTTCTCTCCGCAGCACGACTTCGGCCTGGAGAGGAGGACCCTCTTCTGGGTGGAGGCTGTCACCCGGGGACCCTGCCAGTTCCAGTGCGAAGCCCCCGGGTCGGCGTCAGCCCCTCCAGCCTGGCTCTTGCTGGTCAGCCCGGCATGCGGGCCGGCGGGCCTGCCTGCTGCAGCCACGGGCCCCGAGGCTGGACCCCAAGGGCAGCCGGAGGGACAGGAGGAGGAGGAAAAGGAGGAGGAAGAAGGAGCCATGCCTGCCGATGAGGACGAGCCGGGGCCTCGCAGCCCCCAGCCCAGCGCTCCCGGGAGCCCCAGCCCGGGCCGCCACCGGCGCTCGCTGCCCGGGCTGCGCGCCGTGCGGTCGGAGCTGGCGGGCGTGCGGCAGCGGCTCTCCGAGGGCAGCACGGCCGCCCGCCCGCGCGCCTTCCTGCAGCGCATCCGCCACCGGGCCCGGAGCCTGTGCCCCAGCCCGGAGCCGCCCCGGAGCCCCGCGCCGCCGCCCCGGGGCCCCCGTGCGCCCGCCCCGGCCCCGCGGCCCTCCACGGCGGGCGCCGCGCCCCCGCTGCGGAGCCGCAAGCCCGCGGCCGCGGTAAGGAACTTGCGGGCTCTGCCAAGATCAGCGGCCAGGCCCCCGTAGTTTGGGTCCCCAGCCATGTCCACAGCCAAGGTCCCCTCCTCTCCGTGCTCCTCCTCCCGAGCCTTTCCCGCTGCTCTTCCTGCAGCCTTAGCTCAGAGGGCTCCCATCCCCCGGTGCCTGCGTTGCCTCTGCTAGGGCTCATGCAGGGCGTAGTTATCCAGCACCTGTCTCTCTCCCCCCCCCGGAACATGAGCTCGCCTTCTTTTAGGGCAGGGGTTGGTGCGCACGCATTTTTGTTTGCGGAGCACCCAGAGGCAGACTTGGCCCCTAGAGGGTGCTCAGTGAATGTGACTCAAATCCAGGGCTTGCTGGGCAAGGCTTTCTGTGGACGCTGAGCTGGACGCTCAATCAGGGAATAGCCACTGTCTGTAAATCCCTGCCAGACACTGGGTGGGAAGAGACAAAGTCCAAACCGCTGGACAATTGCCTCAGGGGGCGTGGAGACAAGGCAGGGCGATCATGTGTGGAGAGAGAGAGAGAGAGAGAGAGAGAGAGAGAGAGAGAGAGAGAGAGAGAGAGAGAGAGACAGAGAGAGAGAGAGAGGTGAGGGCTGTTACAGGCCGGGAAAGCTGGGGACAGAGCACTGTGCCCAGCAGAATGGGGAGCAGAAGTGAATGTACCATGAACCCAATGAAGCTAAGCCTCAGGCCACTGACTTTGCTCTTTCCAAAGCTTTATGCCTAATTTTATATTTATAATTCTATCCTATTTTTTTTTAATTTAAGAGGTCCAAATGTATAATCATCAAACTCCACACAACCTGGAACCTGAATAGGTGGGGTGGGTCAGGATTAGCAGCAGGAGGTAGCAATAGGGCACAGCTTTCTGTCTTTTTCCCCTTGCCCCCGGCGGCCCCAGTCAAGCCAGTAGGTACAAAAGAATGAGGCCAACATGACATTAAATCCCAAAGAGACTCAAGGTCTGGCTTCTCCACTCACTGGTGTGTGATCTTACGCAAGTCACTGAGGTGCTCTGAGCCATCCCTTCTCTACCTTGTCAAGAGGGCCAGCCAGCAACCCTTCTCGCCATCGTTCAGAGCAAACATAGAGAAGAGGCGCTGTGAGCTGGACCGGCTGTGCCCACATCCTGGGCCAGATGTGAAGGCCAGGATGGCTCTTCCCCGATCCAGATTAAAATAACTCTTAAGCCTCATAACAACCCCTGAGATACCCAGTGTGACCACCTTCATTTCACTCTGAGTAACCTGAGTGAACAGTAGAGATCCAGGCTTTGGTCCAGAGCAGGATCCACGCTCCCCACTGCATTCGCCTCTGTACTCTGTACGGAAGGGGGCGTGAAAGGCGCCTTTTAGAATGCCCTGCCCAACCAGATGTTCTCCCGCTGGTAAATGACTCATCCAGCTTGTCTGCATTTCAGTCCCTCAGCCCATACACTTGCCTGCCACCTCTTGAGCGGGAGCCCCAGCCACGCCTCGCCCACAGACCGCACCCCAATTCTGCGGACCTGCTGTCCGCCCTGAGCCAAGAGGAGCAAGACCTCATCGGGCCCGTGGTCGCCCTGGGGTACCCCCTGCACAGGGCCATCGTGGCTCTGCAGAAGACGGGGCGTCAGAGTCTGAGCCAGGTGAGCGATCCTCCGGAGTTGGGGGGCCGTGGAGCTGGAACCAGAAGGGTGGCCATGTGGTTTTATCTTTACTTTTATTTATTTTATTTATTTTTAAAATATATTTCATTGATTTTCCACAGAGAGGAAGGGAGAGGAATAGAGACCTAGAAACATCGATGAGAGAGAAACATCAACCAGCTGCCTCCTGCACAACTCCCATCAGGGATGTGCCCATAACCAAGGTACATGCCCTTGACCGGAATCTAACCTGGGACCTTTCAGTCCGCAGGTCGACGCTCTATCCACTGAGCCAAACCGGTTTTGGCCACGTGGTTTTTATCTTTAACTTGAAGAAATTTTGTTTCCTTCTCTTCAGAGGCAGAATCTCAGCCTGCCATTAATTGTTGGGGGTTATGAGCAGCTTCTAGGTCCTGAAGCTACCTCTGCATAGGAGTTTATCAGGAATCCCTGTGCACACTTGGGGGCGCCTTGATATTTTACTCCTCTCCTGCTTTGTATCCCAAATGCAGGGGCTGGCGCTTTGGGCAGCCAAGAATCTCTCTAGCTGCCCGGTGGAACTTCTTGTAATGAGCGGTGTTTTATATCTGCTGTCCAATACAGGATCCACCAGCCATATGTTATTACTTGAAATGTGGCTAGTATGACAGAATTTTATGTGATTGAAATTAAAATAGTTACATGTGACTACTACTAGGTGTTGCAGCTCTAACCACTTCCCTCAACGAAAGAATTGTGTTCAGTTTGACCAAATCCACCTATCCATCTACCTATTGGGTATTTCCTGGGTGTTTAGATATGGCTGGGAGGTAGGGGGTTACCAGGGTACAGAAAAACCACTATTGTAGGCTGGAGTGAGTCCCCAGGAATCCACTCAGATGGAGTAAAGTAAGGAGGCTCTTGGGATTAACCCCTGCAGAAGGGAGTGGACAGAAGCAGGAGTGGGTAGATGGAGAGGTTGAGCTTTGTAGACCCAACGACAGTGTCAGCCAACTCCTCAACTCTGGAGCAGGTATGGCCCTCGAGAGCCATCCTAAGTGGGGCTGAGCTGGTCAGACCTTTATATCCCTTCATCAATCAGGCATTAGTGGTGTTAATATTTAGTTAATATTTGTGTGTGTGTGCCAGTCCCTCAATCTGAGAGTACACAATTAGGTCTTCTCAATTCTTTTTTTAAATTTTTATTTATTTTTTAAAATATATATTTCATTGATTTTTTTACAGAGTAAGAGAGAGGGAGAGTTAGAAACATCAATGAGAGAGATACACCAATCAGCTGCCTCCTGCATAACCCCCACTGGGGATGTGCCCGCAACCAAGGTACATGCCCTTGACCAGAATCCAACCTGGGGCCCTTGAGTTTGAAGGCTGATGCTCTATCCACTGAGCCAAACCAGTCAGGGCTCTTCTCAATTCTTCAAGGTTGCTATTACTATCCTCACTTTGCAGCTGGGGAAACAGGCTGGTTCACTCTGAATCCTTGTTGTTCAATGCTTTTCTCTCATTTTCTGCATGAGAACCTTTCAGGGAAGCACCTAGGCTCATCTTGATTTCAGAGAGGATGGGAGAGGGAGAGAGAGAAACATCAATGATGAGAGAAAATCATTGTTTGGCTCCCTCCTGCATGCCCCCTTCTTAGAATCCAGCCCAAAAACCTGGGCATGTGCCCTGACCGGGAATCGAACCGTGCCTCCTGGTTCATAGGTCGATGCTCAACCACTGAGCCATGCTGGTCGGGCAGCTTATGGGTAGTTTTAAAACTCCCAGTAGCTGCAATCAACACTAAGGCCACGATCCATTGCTGTGGGTGAGCTAAGAGGTGACGGGAGATCTCCCATCTGCCCTTGCCCCCACTCCTGCTTTCACCTTTAGAAACTCTTGTCTACTTTTAAGCTAGCTCGAGCCCCTCCTCTAATAGTGGCCCCACGATGGACAAGGCATTAGCTCGAGATTAGGTGACCTAGGCCCTCGTCTTGGGGCCCTGGGCAAGCTGCCCTCATCGTCTGGACCTGTTTCCTCAGGGGTGCAAGGCGGGCTTGGCTGGGTGGTTTTTCAGATGTGCTCCAGTAAGGCCTAGGTGCCCTAGGCAGGTGCTTGGACAGTTGAGAAGCTGAAACCATTCGTTGATATTATCCTTGCTTTCTGCCTACCTCTGAAGGGCTGCAGAAACCCAGCCTCTTTTTTCTCCGCTTACACCCACAATTCTTATGGTCTGGCACTGACTTCATTTGGCACTGACTCCCCATAAATCCTGCTTTGATTTGTCGGGGCCTCATGATTGCCAGTATCTGGTTTATCTCCCCCACTGGGCTGTGAGCTCCTCGGAGGTAGTTCTTAATTCACTTTATAAACACAGCATGTATTTATGGAGCTCCCTCTGCCTGCCATGCTGGGTGCTGGGACACAGTGGTGAACCAGCCCTTCCCTCATGGAGCAAAAAGCCAGTGGATGAGAAAGATGGGAAAGGCAGTAGGGCAGTTTTACCAAGTTGTTTGTGCTGTGGGACCACCAAGCACAGCACCTTGGAAACAGGGCAGAGGGGGTTCCCAGGTAAGAGGAGTGAGGCCGGCCGTGATGAGGGGCCTCTTGGGGGCTGCGGGAGGAGCAGAGATGACTGACAGGCAGGAGCCTTTGAGCCCTGGTTGGAGGCAGCACTTCACCCTGAGGCCAAAGCAGCCCCTGAGGGCTAGGCAGGAAGTGACCGACCGGAACGGGTCTTCAGCCTGGGAGGTCCGCTCTGTCCCCGCCCCTTTCCAGCACAGACGCAGGTCTGTTGCATGGTGGGGGCTCATGAAGTCCTGGGTGGCAGAGATGTATGTGTCTAGGGGTGGGATGGGGTAGGGGTGCCCAGGAATGGATGGCACCTTCATACAGGTAGGTGCTCCCCAAGGAGGGCGAGCAGGCTGCATGGGTGGTGAGTGAGAAGAGACCTATGTTGCAGGCCTGTCCCACCCCCACTTAGCTTCTGGGAACACCTTAGCTCACCCTAACAGCCCCTAGTGTGGGACAGTTGGTGTCTACCTATCCATGGCCCATGAGGTTTCTGGGGCCATGTCATGTGTGGTGGATTGCCTAGTCAGCTGGCCTGAGCTCAGGCCTTACTGAGGTCCTTGAAGTGTCTGCTCTAGCCCATCCACTGCCCCTGCTGTTCCCCCCTTTTTTAAAAACAAAAACAAAAACAAAACGTGTTTTCATTGATTTCAGACAGGAAGAGAGAGGGCGAGAGAAATAGAAACATCAATAATGTGAATCATTGAACAGCTACCTCTTGCATACCCTTTGCTGGGCATCAAGTTCTCAACCCAGGCATGCGCCCTGATCAGGAATCGAACCGTGACCTTCTGATTCATAGGTCGATGCTCAACCTCTGAGCCACCCATCTTATCCCCTCCCTCTCTGCCCCTTCCTGGCCCAGTTTCTCAGCTACCTCAGCGCCTGTGATCGGCTGCTGCGGCAGGGCTACGACGAGGGCCTGGTGGAGGAGGCCATGGAGATGTTCCAGTTCTCTGAGAGCCAGGTCAGCCGGCCCCCTGCCTGAGCTGAGGCAGAGAAGGGAGGGGGAAATACACATGAGCCTGGTGTGTGGGGGCATATGGTGCCAGAGCCAGCCTGGGGGCGACAGGGAGAGAGCCTGCTTGCTCAGCCCTGGGGAGCAGACAGCCAGGGAGATGAAGCACAGAAGGTGAGAGGATGAGGTGGGGAGGGAACCAGAGGCACGGCTTTGTATTGTTTCACTGAATAAGCACACGGGTCATTGAATGCCCTCTCTCTGTTAGACACCCACATAGGAGCCACAGGCAGCACAAAGGTGCTTGAAAACTCTGCTCAAGGAGCTGGCCGTCTAGCTGGGATCCAGCATAGAGGCCGCTTTGGGCCCAGTAGTACATTCTGCGTGCCTGGTGAATACGATCTGTCCATGCTCAGCAGCTGGTTCAGGCTCGAGAGCAACTCTTCACGGAGGCTGATGGAGGGACAGGAGGGCGGGAGACATACAGAGAAGGAGGGAAGAAGAAAAGCAGGGTTGCTTCAAGTGCTGGTGCCAGAGGAGGAAGGAGGACCAAAGCTGTACTGTGTGACACCTCGGCAGAGATCCTGGACTACGCATCCTCTGGGCACCAGTATTCGGCTTTCCTCTTCCTGCCCCAGCCCCCACCACAGGTAGTCAGGAGAGAGCTGGGGCAGGGGAGTAGAGCCAGGACCAAGCCAGTGGCCAGGCTGGGGACCTCCTTCCTTGGCCCATGTCACCTCACAGGCAGGTTGCCCAGGGTCAGGTTTACCTGGCCTGTGAGGGCCACAGCTTTCTGGGAGTAGATACAGAGGAGACTGGGGAGGGGGCTGCGCGGGTGGAGGATAAGCCTCAGTGCCCTCTCTGCTTTCCCTTCCTCAGGCAGGGGAGTTCCTGCGCCTCTGGGAGCAGTTCAGCGACATGGGCTTCCAGCAGGACCGCATCAAGGAGGTGCTGCTGGTCCACGGCAACTGCCGCGACCAAGCCCTGGAGGAGCTGGTGGCCTGTGCCCAGTGACCTCGGGGGCACTCTGCAATGCCCGGCATCCCAGACCTGTGCTCACCCTGGCAATCCAAGTCTACAAAGCGATGCATACCCGTTGTAAAAATGCAACAAGGCCAAGGTGGGAGCGAATGCTATAGGGGAGGCAGAACTTCCCCCATGTTGGGTTTTCAGCTGGACCAATTAACAAGAGAAAAGCAGTTAATGAATATATGCAGCACCCATTATGTGGGAGAACCCTCAGTGAAAAGTAGCTCAAAGCAGGGGTTTAGAACTCTGGCTTATGTAGCATCGACAAAGAGCACATTTGTATAGAGATAACAAGACAAAGGAGATCAGTTTAGCCTTCTAAAAATGACAGACTTGGAAGGTACATATATGGGAGGGAACTAATGGAGTAAGGCTCCTTGCAGATTCCTCTGTGCACCTCTGGAAGGATAAGAATCAATCTCAAGAAAAAGAGAATTTATATCCTGCCTTTAGACAGAAGAAGGAGAGGGAAGAGAAAAGCTTTTCCTGCATTTGCTGCTTCTTAATTGCCTTCAGCTAGAAATAATTTTTATGTCAAAGAAGCATATTTTGGATGACATTCTGCCTCCGTTTAATACCCAAAGGATTGGCTAAAAGACTTGAAAGTGGTTACCGGTGGGGCGGGGCAGGTGGGAGGGGTTAGACAAGGAGCTGTGTTTTCTCATACAAGTCTTGTAAAACTACCTTTATGTGAGCCTTTAAATTGTGTGCTTTGGTTTTCAGAAAATTAAAACAAACAAGCAAAATGATGGGCAATTCTTTTGGGTCTTACAGGTTCCTGGTCTTTTTGTGGAAATTATATTTAACCGTGGGTCCAAAGATCTAATTTCTGATTTTGGTTCTGCTGATGACTGGCTCAAAACTTTTTTGGGCCTCAGTTTCCCCAGGAAAAGTAGAGAGATTGGACCTGGCTGTTAGTCATACGAATCCCCTGGGAAGTTTGTTAGAGTCGCAGGCCCCACTCCTGGAGAATCTGACTCAGAAGGTAGGGATCCGTTTTGTTTGTTTGTTTCTTTTTTTTTTTTTTTAAAGAAGCTCTCTGGGATTGTTTCTTTAAAATCTTTTTTTTTCCTTTTTTTAATCTGCTGTTTGTTATTGTTGATTTTCTTCACCCATTTTCCCACTTCCCATCCCCTGGGCCCACCTCTGGCAATTGCTAATCTGTTATCTGAATCTATGAGCTTGGTTTTTTATTTTTAGGTTTCACATATGAAACCATATGGTATTTGTCTTTCTCCACCTGACTTATTTATTTAGCATAATATCCTTGAGGTCTACCCATGTTGTCACAAATGACAAGATTTTATTCTTTTTTATAGCTGCACTAGAGGCCCGGTGCATGAATTCCTGCATGGACAGGGTCCAGTCGCCCTGCCCCGATTGGAGCCAATCAGGGCAGGCTGGCCAGGGGAGGAGACCTGGGGGGTTGGCTGACGGCCCTTCCCCCTGGTCCAACTCCCAGTCAAACTCCTGGTGGAGGGGACAATTTGCATATTAGGCTTTTATTATATAGGATAACATTATATTATATATTCTATATAATATTCCATTATATAGCCTATATAATAAAAGGCTAGTATATATCCCATTATATATCTTATATAACAAAAGGCTAATATGCAGTTGTCCCCTCAATCAGGAGTTTGACCATGGGATGGGGCGGGTTGTCAACCACCATGGTCCCCCCAGCTGGCCCTGCCCCCAACCAGCCCGCCTCAACCCAAATAGGGGGCGGGGTTTGCCCACCAACTACCCATTCCCCGCCCCCCCCCCCCCCCCGCCTCTGCTGGACCAGCTCGATCAGGGTGGGCCAACTAGAACCCCTTTTGCACAAATTTGTGCACCGGGCTTCTAGTGTGTATGTGTGTGTGTGTGTGTATATATATATATATATATATATATATATATATATATATACACACACATACACACACACAATTTTTAAAAACATGTTTTTATTGATTTCAGAGAGAAGAAGGGAGAGGGAAAGAGAGAAACATCAGTGATGAGAGAGAATCATTGGTCAGCTACCTCCTGAACAACCCACACTGGGGATGGAGCCTGCAACCTTGGCTGGGGTTGCATATGCCCTGGCTGGGGATCAAACCATGACCTCCCAGGTTCATGGGTTGACTTTCAACCACTAAGCCACACTGGCGGGGCATACACAATTTCTTTATCCATTGATCTGTTGATAGACATGTAGATTATTTCCATATCTTAGATATTGTAAATAATGTTGCAATGACTATGGGGGTGTACATATATTTCTGTGTTAGTGTTTTCATTTCTTTGGACAAATACCCAGAATTAAGATTCCTGGATCATATGGTAATTCTATTTTTAATTTTTTGAGGAACCTGCATACTGTTTTCCATAGTGGCTTCACCAATGTACACTCCCACCAGCAGTACACAAGGGTTCCTTTTTCTCTACAGCCTTGCAACTCTTATTTCTTATCTTGTTGATAATAGCCATTCTAACAGGTATGAGGTGATATATCATTGTGGTTTTGATTTGCATTTCCCTAATGATTAGTGCTGTTGAGCATCTTTTCATGTACCTTCTTTGGAAAAATGTCTATATAGATCTACCTATTTTTTGTTGTTGTTAATCTTCACCAGAAAATATTTTTCCATTGATTTTTAGAGAGAGTGGAAGGGAAGGGAGAGATAGAGAGAGAGAAACATCAATGTATGAGAGAGACATCAACTGGTTGCCTCCCACAGTCCACCTGACCAGGGCCAGGGATTGAGCCTGCAACCTAGGTACATGCCCTTGACCGGAATAGAACCCAGGACCCTTCAGTAGGTAGGCTGACGCTCTATCCACTGGGTCAAACCAGCTAAGGCTAGATCTGACTTTTTTTTTTTTTTATCTGCCTATTTTTTAATCAGATTGTGGTTGGTTTGTTTTGTTTTGTTTGTTTGTTTGTTGCTATTGAGTTGTTTGAGTTCTTTATATATATATTATAATTTGGATTTTAATCTCTTATCAGCTATATGATTTGAAAATATTGTCTCTCATTGCCTTTTGATTTTATTAATGGTCTCCTTTGCTGTGTAGAAATTTTATAGTTTGATGTAGTCCCATTTGTTTTTTGGGGTTTTTTTGTGTGTGTACGTGTGTGGCTTTTATTTGCTTGTTTGCTGCTTTTGCTTTTGGTGTCATATCCAAAATATTGCCAAGACCAGATGTCAAGGAACTTACTACCTATGTCTTTTTCTAGAAACTTTATGGTTTGGGGCCTTACATGTAAGCCTTTAGTCCATTTTGAATTGACTTTTGTGTATGGTGTAAGATGATGGTAGAATTTCATTCTTTTGCATGTGGCTGTCCAGTTTTCCCAACATCATTTTTTAAGAGACTGCCCTTTTGCCATCAAATATTCTTGGCTCTTTTGTCATAAATTAATTAACCATACACACTGGGTGGTCAGATTATTATGATCTCTGAACACATAATAATCTGGCCACTCAGTGTATATATACTGAAGCGTGGTGCATGAATTCGTGTATGGGTGGGGTCGAGGGGGAAATTTGCATATTAGCCTTTTATTATATAGGATATACACTGAGTGGCCAGATTATTATGTGTTCAGAGATCATAATAATCTGACCACTCAGTGTATGTCTGGACTTTCTATTACGTTCCGTTGATCTATGTGTCTATATTTATGCATTTATGCCAATATCTCTGGGCATTCTTACTCACTGTTCTGGGCCCAGGGCTAGCATGTCCCTCAGGGTCAGCTGATCTGCTCTGACAGTTTGTAGTGCTATGTAGGTCTGTCCTCCATGTGGGGGATGTTCCAACTGGGAGCAGGGTTGTCTTCAATCACCACAGGCCTACCTACCCCTGGGGCTTGAGGGGACCAGTGTCTGGGCTGCCTGTGATTAGGGCAAGCAGAGGTCAGAAGCCAAAACACGGGTGCTCCTGCCCTTCCCAGCTGGTCCTGTGCAAAGGCCTGCAGCAATTCCCACAGAATACAAAGTTCTCACCCATCCACCCGGCAGCACAGCTGGACCTAGAGCTGAGGCTGTAAAACAACAAGCGAAATCTCCCACAATTCTCATGGCTCCAGCCCAGACACCTTGTCTGAGCAGGGAGCGAGGACGTCTGCAGGCCCACACAGGTCTCAACGGCAAGTTTGGAACACAGCCCAGGTCTCCCGGGCCCATCAGCCCTGGTGCTTTCCATGGAGCCTCATGCCTGCCAATTTCAAACCACACTAAAGATATTTTGGGGCCTTAAAATACCTCTCTGCTCCTCTTCCTCTCTCCTTCCCTCCCTCCCTTCTACTCTTGAATTAAATAACTTGTAGCAATGTAAAACTATTTTGAGAAAATCAGCTAAATGTCCTAAAGTTGATAAAAAATAAAACTGCATTTGGAAAATAAAATAAAATTCAAGTTAAATTTCTAAATCCAATTGTTAAATGTTAAATCCAAAGCTATTTGTGTTTTTATTAAGGTAACCTGGCCTCAGACTGCCACTTTATTAAGTCTCCATGATTCATAGTGACCAGTTGGCAGGCCCCTCACACATGTGACATGTCCTTCCCCAACGACAGTCCTCCCATCTGTCTCTACCTGCCCCAAACTTCCCTACCCATAGAAAGCTATTATTTGATTAAAAAATGAGACACCAAGACATCATCGTTAGTTTGAACTGTTTTTAGGAGGTAGAATAGTATGAGTTAAACATATGGACTCTGAAGTAGACTGGCTGAAACCACAATCCCATCACCAACTAGCTGTGTGACCTGTAGAAGGTCACATAACCTTTCTGTGCCTTAGTTCCTTACCCATGCCTTATGGCAATTGAAACTTCCCAACTGGGATGATTCATCAGGAGAGTGCACAGGAGGGCTGTGGCATGGTTTTGAGTAGCTTATCCATATTTATACCCTGCCTTGTTCTAGAATCAGTACTACTTTTACTCTGATCGTGCTCCTCTTCATTGTTATGATGAACACATCAGCATTTACAATCAGACTGAGAAATCCTGGCAGAAGCTCTCCCCACCTCTGGTCAGAGGGTTTAAGAAGGTGCAGAGGATTCTGGGAGTACCACCTTGGTGAAGGACAATCTCCACAGCTAATCCTAAGGGTCAGGTGACTGCATTGGTGGCTCCTTGAAATGGCAGCTAAGGACACACTCCGCTCCCTGAAGGCAGGATCTAGACAAGGCAACCCTTGGTGCCCTGGCTGGTGTTGTTCAGTGGTTAGAATGTTGGCTCATGCACCGAAAGGTCAAAAATTTGATTCCCAGTCAAGGGTACAAACATGGGTTGCAGGTTCCATCTGGGTGAGTGCAGGAGGCAACTAATCAAGATACCTTACATCAATGGTTCCCTCTCTGTTTCTCTCTCTCTGCTCTTCTTTCTCCCTCCTCCTCTCCCTCCCTTCTACTCTTTCTACTATCTATAAAAATCAATGGAAAAATATACTCCAGTGAGAATTAACAAAACTATTTATATCTTTCTATCTATCTATCTATCTATCTATCCATCCATCCATCCATCCATCCATCTATCCATCCATATAACCCTTGGAGAGGAGGCCAGGAGTATGGTAGAGTCTAGGGTCCAACTGCTAAACCAATGCCTGGCCCAAGGATGCAGAATGAAGCAAGTCATACCTTGATTCTTGGTCTCAGTTCTGTCCCCTCTCCTCTCTCCCTCAGAGGCCCAGTGCCAGCAAGTTGAAGAAAATCTCCTGACTGATTAGGAAATATTTTTAGGAAGTAAAATAT